AGGTGGGCAGATGATTGCTGGTCATGGAGCAGATGGGCAGAGTGAGATGGCCATGGGCCAGGCAGTAGTCAGCAGAGTGAGCCCTGCAAAACTGGCAGAAGAGGAGTGGGCCCTGCAGGGTGATTGTGGTGGCCAGCAAGATCCTGGGATACTGTTCATCACTGCCAGGGCCAGAGGTGGGGGCAGCCATAACACAAGGAGGTACAGTGGGCACAGACAAAACTGCCACATGCTGCCTCTGAACTTGCTATGCTGCTCCTAAACAAAGGAAGAGTCTGCCCAGAAAGCAGAGAGCTCTCTGACTCTTAAACAGGGCTGCCAGGCTGGTGGCAGCTGCAACTAGAGCAGGGGCGGGCAATTATTTTGGGATATATATATATTAATTTGGAGTAGCTCCAGATTCTTAGTAGCCCCATGCACAGACCAGGACTCCACAGTGCTGTACAAACTCAGAACAAGACCCACCTTTGAGCACATCACTAGGGGAGGCAAGTAATGTATTTCACAAACTGTTCACAGATGCACCCACAAACATGCTGCAACTTTGTGCATTATTGCTTGGTGCTAAACAACTTTGGTGATGAAGTCACTTTTGACACACTAGAATTTATCATGGCCAAAACATCAGTAGGCTATTTTTTAAAGTCTAGCTCAGAGCACGTTCCTGCTGTGTTAAAATGAGAAACATGCTGTAAATAGTGTGATGACAACTCACTAGAGACCTGAGTGTTAATGTGACTGTGCTGATAGGAAGCAAATTAACAATTCAGCAAAGCTGGCTCCCTCCTAATTCAGAGCCAAACAGCCAAGGAACTGAGATTCCAAGAAACACAGAAGCTGGGAGTGACAGGGAACAGAGAGAGAGAGAGATTTTTATTTTATTGTTGCTGCTGTTTAACGTGCAGAATAAAAATACAGTGTTAGACTATTGCGGGATAATTCAGTCAATTAGATAATTCAGTCTTCTGTGGTTAGTCTGTGGGTTATAAATCAAATGTGATCTACATTCCTTGACGTTGAATTCTACATCTCATAAAAACTGCTGGTAAATCTTCACATCAGAATTGGGAATGAGCAGCTGGATGGTTTTAATCATGGGCTTTAGCCAAAACATATGATTACTTTATAAATCCACAAGTATATTTACATCTTTTTACTGTAACTCGATTTACAAATCCTATAAAATAGCAGAAAATCCATGAACAGATTTACAGACAGAAGCAGCCCAAAACAAAATGTAGGTTTGGCAAAACAGTATTTATTTGTTGTAGTGTGAATGATTGATTCCAAACAGGGGGGAAGCCCTGTTTTCGTGAACAGACAATCCTAAAAATAGTCAGGAGCCACAGCCAGATCTTTACGTCTGGAAAAAGAAGTCACAGCTGAGAAACATCAGAGCTAAGTTGTAGAAGAAAGCAGAGCACAAAAGTATACTGATTGGATCTAGACACCACAAGCTCCTTCGGAACAGTCTTCTGATCTCTGATTAAAATCTCAGGCCAAGACATTTAAAAGAGTTTGTGGGTGCCTCTGTTATCAGATGTGAATTTGAAATATTTAAAGGAATAGATTTTCAGAACAAAGGTGTGTAGCAGTCAGGTTCTTAAAAAATACATATTTCTCTATGTTCTGGAATTGAGGCACTTTAATTATCTAGTCACATTTGAAAATGCTGTAGTAAATCAGGTATTGAGGATGTTGCATAGTCTGATTTTATTACAAGTCTTGCAATATTTTTTTCTTAAAGTTCCAATTCTTGGAGTCACATGATTATATAAGAATCTCAGTATTCACTAACAACCCCCCCACCAAAAAAACCACACAAGCATTTTTTCTAGCCCCTATGTTTGCTGAGAAAAATCTTGAAGTGTGATTGCTAAAGTTTAAAAAAAGACCAGGTGACAAAGAAAAGCAACACATTTTCAATGCAGCAAATACCTACATGGAGGTTCCAAATCATATGTAAAGTAGCATTGTCTACTCTAACTCTGAGGAGGATTAAGTTAAAGCTGATGAGAGCATCCACAGAAGGAGGTAACACACTTTGACTTATCCACATTGACTGCATGCCTCTAATCGAGTTGCCTTAATATCCTTGGGCGGCCCTATGTAGAATAGCCCTTTGAGGCTGTCTTTTCAGAAAATTATTTTGAATGAGGCAAGGATTTTTATGTGTTATCATTTATTGAACCAACTGTATGGTTGCAAGAGGTGTTAGATAAGCTTTAAGGCACTGAGTACCCTTTCTTAAGTTGCCTAAAATAATTAGATGACATGGCTAGGTGACCTGACAAAGTGCACATGATGCCTGAAAGCCTGTCCAGCAGCTTTTCTAATAACACAGTTGGTCCAATAAAAGATATCACAAAAACATCCTTGCCTTATACATCTCCTGGACCATCACCCCTGCAACAATACTCCAATGCTATTACATTCTGAGAGAAAGAATACTTTGGATTTTTTATTAATTCATCAGCATCCCTGTAAGAGCACTGCAAGTTATGTAGAATTGTGAAACTGCCTTCATCTCTCACAAATAAACCCAGGGAAAGACTGTGCCTTTAGGCAATGCCCTAAGCTAAGCATTGCATAAGTTGCATGGCCCAATAGCAGCCCTAGAAAGCATTTGTTGTGGAGATGCTCCCATTAAGACATTGCCTACTCTGCTTCTTCATAGCTATAGGATTAGTGATTTACTACCAGCAATACATTATTCTTTCCTATCACCCGCTCCTGGCTTATCTTGACTAGGGAAAATATACAATGGAGGCACTCCTCCTAGACTCTCTCTCCAGGAAGGGAGCTAGTTATTAAGTAACCCTGCTTATTCCTGTGCACTAACCCACTGTCTCCTTCGTTCATTTATATATAAGGGGGCATCCATAACCCTTTGTATTCCCCCACAGTAGCATGTAACCAAAGTCACAATCTACCTCTTTGAAGCTGACAAAAAATTTATTGCCATTTGCTTAAAGAAATAAAATTATCTCTCAGACTGGCTACAGGGAGGCTGTGCTGAAGTACTGATTTGTATATAAAATTATCCTAAATGTAAATATTAAATAAGCAGGTAATTTTCTTTAATTGAAGTGTAGGAATGGGGCATTCTTTAAACTGCCTGTATTGCTAAAAATAAATATGTTACTGGGTTATGCTTTGCATTAATTTCAATATTTGTTAAGTAGAATAAAATGCAGGGAAAAAATCATATTAGAAGAAAATAAAAGGTGTTTCAAATGTATGAATTTTAGTTCTTTCTCATAATCTCTCCCATGCTGCTCTGCACAGAAACCTGAGAGCATTATGGAAAAAAAACATGATTTGTATCCCTACAACTTGTCTCAATTACATATTTCATAAGGCAGGTGCTAAGCATTATTTCTGCTGGGAATTTGTTGAGTTCAGAAAACACAAGTTCATTTTTAGTTTTATTGTTGACTGGAAATGTCTACACCTCCTGTCAAAAGCAAACACCTCCTTTTGATTTCATAGGTATAAGCTGAGAGATGCCAAGAACTCAGTGGGCATGTCTACATGTGCATTTACTCCAGCCTAGATTTGCTGCACAGTAAGGGTTATTGGGTAGATGTCTACACGTGCAGTGCTTAGGGAGAAAATCTGCTTCCAAGTCCCTGGAGCCCTGCAATACACTCATGTGGTAAATATGGGGGAACTCTAGGCTCTAGTTCAGGGGTGGGCAAAATATTGCCCATGTGCCACCATTCTGTCTGTCCTGCGGGGTCCCTAAAAAAATGTAGAAAATTAATATTTCTCTGCCCTTGATCCCTGTCAAAAATGACAGGAACCAAGAGCAATGGGACCCAGGGGAAGCCCAGCAGGCTCCCACAACAACGGAGCCCACCTGGCCCCACCCCCCAGCTGGAAGCCCCAGCTGGGGTTTCTGGGCTGGGAGCATGTGGCTGCCCCAGTGCAGGAAGCTCAGATAAGTGGGGGTGGGGGGGACCCTGGGAAGGGAAGGAGTGTGGGGTGGGGGGAAGCAGCCCCTCCCCACCCCACACCTGGTGCCCTGTGCTGCAGCTGCTCGCAGCCCGTGTGGGGCTGCCTGTGTCCACTCTGGACAGCCCCATGTGGGCTGCAAGTGCCGGCTTTATGGAGCTGGGCCAGCTCCCTCCTCCCTGCTGATGCAGCCCAGCCTGGGTCCACAGACCCCTGCCAGCCTGTGCCCCACTCTGGGCCCCACTGGTGCAGGCCCTGGGACATAGGTCCCAAGGCATTGGGACGTTGGTCCCAAGATGGTGACTAGAGGGTGGGACACCTGTCAAGGGGTGGGGCACCTGTCACAGGGCGGGGCTACCCATGAAGCCTTGGACAGCCTACCAAAACTGTCTCCTCTTCTGTCAGTTTTGTCAGCCTCCTCTTCTGTCAGTTTTGATATCTGGAGTTCACAGGTGAATGGATCCTACTGGGCTCAAGTGAACAGGAAATATGAATGGAAGAAGAATGGTGGAAATGACTCTAAGTTGATCCAAGACATTTATTTTTAGGTTTAAACAATCTAACAGTGAAAAAGAGCAGTTTGATTCAAGACTTCCTGATTTTGGCTGACATGCACAAATTCAGGTTTCCATATTCCTTCCTATTCCCTTACTGTTTGCTAGAAGTAGTAGCCCATCCCTCTGGCCCAATCCTAGAATATTTCCCCACAGGAATAAGCCCTGTGGGTGAATTTACATGAGACACTGACTGCTCAACAGCCAAATAATACTGCACAGTAGTGGATCACAGCACGGACCGTGCTAATACACTATTGCACAGTATTGTTAGACTAAAAGACATTCACCGGTGCTATTGCACAGTAACTCCACCTACTGTGCATTTAGTTAGTACTTGCTTATACAAGTAGTAAATAAATGTGCAGTAACCACTGTGCAGTAGCATCTTGTGTAGACATACCACATGAGGAGTAATTCCTCACAGCAGCAGCCACATTTGAAGCCAGAGACAATGCTAGTATAAGATCAAGTTGTGTGAGCAGGGAGTATAAAAACAGAGCCTTTATTAGCCAAACACCAATGCTTGCCTTTCACATTCATATTCTTACATCATGCTTCCCATCAAACTGCAGCCTCCCATCATGTAATTGATGTGCAGGAATCCTGGTTTTCTCTGTTTAAAAAAATCCAAAATTCTCTGATTAAAAACCCCAAATCTGTGTTTTTTCTGTGATTAAAATGAAATGTTACTATATACAGCATATAGGTATCAGTTGAACACAATGTTTTACTGATATATTTATAATTTTAAAGTAATTTGGAAGTCTACCAGTGCCTCAATCATTATAATAAAATATGTATTATGTAGAGGCCCCAGCACCAGTGGAGGCGTGCCTTAATACACACAAAATCACGTCACAAATTTTGCTTGTTAGCATCTTGAGGTGCAGTTTCCCAGAAACCCCTGCACCTATCTCCTTGAAACATGGCAAGCTTTGTGGACTCAGCAGGGGAAACCATACCTGCTGTTTTCACCCCCATCTGCCTTCACGCTTACAAGTGACATGAGTTTTGCTTTTAATATCTTGAGGTGCATTTTCTCAGAAGCCCCTACACCTACCTTCTTGAAACTTTACAGGCTTTGTGGACTCATCAGGATCTATTGTCTCTGCTGTTTTCATTCTAATCAGGCAAGAAATGACAAAGTTATAGGCAGTTTTGTGATTCCCCATTATAGTCTATGGGCAAAACGTTGAAACAGTGAAAGTTTTGACTAAACGAAACAGAACAGTGCTTCAAAACAAAATGAAACTCAAAATGAGACATTGTCTCATCAAAATGGCGAAACAGAAGTTGAAAAGAAAACATGCTGTTTTGCACAGCTCTAGTATCTATTCCTATTTGTTACATTATAAAGTGGGTTTGCTTTATGTGAGTCCCAAGGGAAATCTGTATAGTCTATGGCCAAATCTCCAAATCAGCCCCGAATCTCTCCAAATTAATTTGGAGGCTTCCGATTCAATTCAGACCACTTAATGAGGTTCCTGATTCAATTCAGATTCAGAGATTTGGCCGTCAAATAGGGATGAATCTCCTCCAAATTGAAACAGATACCAAAGCTTCACACAGCCCTAATAAGCAGCTGGTGGCAGGAGGAGGTGAGGGCAGTGCAGTCCCCCCTCCCAGTCTGTTACTCCTCATGCTGCTGGCAGCGCAGGGATCCTGGCAGTGGTGGCAGCAGCAGCAATAAGGCTCACCATCCCGCTCTGCCCTCCCTCACTGGGTCCTGCCCACTGAACTGTGGAGGCAACTTCTGCCCATGCTGGCCCAGCCAATCTGCAGCTCCATGCCCACTGTGGGTGCCAAAAACTGGGGGGGCACATGTGCCCCCATTACCCTGAAACATTGCCGATGCCCCCCCAGCCTCCCCACATCACCTATGCCCCCCAGCCATTCCCAGTCATTGCCTATGCCCTCCCCTGCACCCCCCATACCTTGCATTGCTTTGCCTATGCCCCATAGACTTAGCTGCAGGAAACTGCCGGAGCTGCTCTCCACCACATTGTCTGGCTGCCTCATGCATGTACAAATGCAACATGTATGTGGCAACCCCTGCCTAGGATCAGCTTCCTCCCACTCACCTCATCCCCAAGCAGCAGCTTGCAGGCTGGAACTCTGCCAGCCTGCAAGGGGAAACCCATGGTTTCCAATGGTTTTTTCCTTTAAAGGAGAAAATCTGCATTTTTCCAAGCAAACAGAAAACCCAGATCCCTTCTGATGTGTCACATTTTGTATTACAGGCACCACATCATTCACTTCTTGGCAAAAGGATGGCATCTTAATCTATATTCTATAGCTAGACCTGCACATTTATGGTGTTATGTACATGCTATAATAATAAATTGTTAGGCAGATGAAAGAGCTGAAGCATCTTTGCTTCAATCAAGAAGAACATTCAAACCTTTGGGAAAATGACTCCTCTTAGAACAGCTGCAAAACAGCATATCTGGGTTGCATATTCCCTGTCTCTTAATCTTAACAAGAATAATTTAGCAAACCTAGTTAGTCCAGTCATATTTATATATAGCCCATGACGTTTTTTAGGTGACCTTTTTATGACTGGAAATGATACTTGAGTTGCTTAGGGTGAAATTTAGCCTGGGGGTCATTTTTCTAATTTTGGTGTTTGGCCACTGTCTTTAAAAATGGTGGTCATGATTAATGAGATGAATAAATATTGATATTTCTGTATATCTGAGGATGATTATGATTTTTCTACTTGACTTTAAATAGGTATTGCAACAACCTAGAAACTTCTTTTGTCTTTTGATAAGCCTTGAAGAATCATTGTAGGATCATGTGCATCTCTTTTCTAGAGCACTAAGATAAGACATTTCTCAGCAAAACCCAAGTACCCCTTTCACATGAGGCTGTCTCTTTTCATCTTCACAGAGGGCTTCTTAAATAAATATACACACACACACACATACACACACACACATATACATACACACACATACACTGCTTGATCTGCAGTCAACTGAATCACTGGCATATTCTTCAGGTCAGCAACTTTTTGGCACCATCCATCACATGTATAACAACTTCTTTGCTTGGAGGCTGTCCATAACATATAACATTTTATGTTTCTCACTTCATGACGTTGCTTTTAAGAGAACAATGATATCCAGTAAATGCTGGGACCCTTCAATGTGGTTGAATCACTCAGAGAAGTGCATGGGTGGTTAACCAGTATGCCAGTATTCCCTCAGAACTAATCTCCAATCTTTGTGGTTGCCATTGAGCACATAATTGCCACTCCCATATTTTTGGCGATAACTGGACAGATGAGTCTTTTTTTGAACTTCAGGTTTTTTGGTATAACTAAGGTTGTTTCATTTGAAATAGTTCATTCTTGGAAAAATGAAATTGGTTATGCCATAATTACATTTGTATAATGGCTTGTTTCAGAGCCTGTTAATCCATCTTTATTGAAATCATTATTATCCATGACAACAGTACAAAGGAAACCTGGAGAAATTTCAGTTAGAAACAACTGACCATTCTGAATTGATTGCAGTGTAACCACTGTAAGTATTGAGCTATAGTAATATCTGTAGTGTTCTAGTAGCGCCCATACTGAAAAGTCATCAAGAACATTGTTATAAGATATGTCAAGTTTAATTTCCTTCAGGATTTGGATGAATTCCTTATTATCTGTCATGTTGTGGACATACATAGATAATATGACTTGCATTAGTTGTCACATTCCTTTGATTAGATATAACAATCCTTTGGATAGAAAATACATCTGGTTGTAGTCATTCTGCATTCAGTTCTCAGCAAGTAGTGCCATCAGATTGTGAATGCCATTGGGTGAGTTGTCTTCTTTCAGTTCATTGAACCCACATGGCAATGGGATTCCAAACTCTGTCCAATGCTTGTAGTAAAGAACCTTGGGTACATTCTGTATCAGTTCTTGAGTGTCTATACCCCAACTATTCACTGTACTTTCAACATATGCTTGTCCATGCCTGGGGGAATAAACTATGAACAATTCATCCCTGTGATACCTGAACTGAAACCCAATGTCTTTTCCAAAGTGATCTTCAAGCTTCTTGCACACAGTTCATAAAGCATGTCTGTCATCACAAGTATTTCAGATTTCTTTGTTGGTGATCAACAAATCTCTTTGAAGCTGCTCATACTTGAAGAGTATGGCTCAAAGAGTATGTCTTTGTGGATTTCTATACTCTCAACAAGAGAAGCACAGAGCTGCTGGAACACCTCCTTCTGTTTCTCTGCTATGCATGTTTGCCATTGTTGGTGATCTTCTTCTTTAGTTTTTCTTGCATGCTTACTACAGATGGGTTTGCAAAAAGATTTCCAGCAGTCTTTATGATAATGTATATCTAATGCTGCTGCTTTCAGTATTCTACCATCACTGTTACAATAAGTAACTAAGGATTGCAAATTATTCCTTTTTTTCTCATCTTGAACATATTGGGCTTCAGTTACAAAAGTTTTCCAAGCACTGTCTGTTTCAATTCAGTGACATTTTACAAATAACCTGTTGCCTAGGGAGTCTCTAGTGATCTTCCCTTCCAAGGGTTCCTCACAAAATACACATGAAGAAATTAACAAGGAACATCCTTGACTACTTCTTACTTGTGATTTAGTTGGCTTATCAGTAACTTCAGTATCAGTCGTTTTTGCAACACTTAACAGATCGTGTGCCTCTTGTGCACACTTCAAGTTAAAGCCTCCAATATGTAATTTACAGTTTTTATGCACTTTCTTCAGTTTATCATCAATCTATAGTCACTGATAGAGAGTATCAAAACTTGTGCCTAAGTCCTTCCATTCTTGAGCTTTTTTGTGCAAGTTTATTCCATATAGCCTGGGAAAGTTTCTGTAAGGGTTTTTTTTTGGACATTGAAGTTTTTTTCACATATGGCATACACATCATTGTCAAATGTTTTAGGTTTTTTCTTGGTTGAGTCTAGCAATGCTGCAACTAAAAGTGCTGGCCTACTGGTTTGTCAGGAAGTTCAGCCCCTGGTCTGTCATCCATTGTTCTTAACTATTTGTTTTTTCTTCATTCACTAAAGAAAGAAGAAATAAAAAAGTATGTAAATAAGAAGTAACAACAAAAGGACAGGATCACCAAAACATTAAGAGAAGATACTATTATATACTATGTCATACTTTAAAAAGTGGTCAGTAATGTTGTTATTTAGCATTTAAAGGCTTGCCAAACAATGGACTATTACTCATCAAAAGACAAAGGAAGTTTGTAGGTTATTGCAATACCTATTTAAAGTAATTTAGAAAATCAAAATTGGCCTCATAGCTACTGAGATATTGATATTTATTCATCTCATTAGTCATGGTTACCATTTTTAAAGATGGTGGCCAAACAACAAGATTAAAAAAGTAATCCCCAGGCTACATTCCTTCCTTAGTACTTCAGTTATGTATTTCAAAAATAAAAAGGTCCCACCCAAAAACACACACAGGTTTTATATATGTGACTGTACTATACTGCAGTAACTGACTGAATTTCCTTTTAAAGAAATTCTGCAGAAAACAATTTCCTGCAAATTGTACAAGTTTGGGAATCCATTCCATGGAGAAGTGGGGGTTCAAACTGAGTAAGATACAAACTGTTGTGTACATCTGCTTTCCAGAGATCCTATGAGGTGCACCCCCTACTGGCCAAAATCTGGGAGACTAACCAGTTCTGCCATCCTTGTTTTCAGGCGTTTGGCAATAGGGTCAATATAGAGTTTGTGGTCCATGATGCCAGATTTATCCTACTCCTAAGCAAGTGACATAAGCTTAATTTTCTTTTTAGACTTCCTTTAAAAGACAGCAGAAAATAGGACATTTCTGCTTCAAATAGCGGGTCTGGTTTTGTCTGCTCTGATGTTATTTAGGAGATAGGGTGTCAGCATCATTGTTACGAAGGTATGAGAAAGAACAGAAGCAGAGGCAAAAAGTTAGGGTAAAGGTGGGTTTTCAAATGTCTGCATGCTATAGAATAGCTGAGACAGAAGCAGAATGGTGTGTGCATGTCTGTGTGCATATTTATGTGGGTGAGAAATCTCTCCCAGAAAGGGACATGTTTGCCTCCTCTATGGAAAAAATATTAAAGGTCA